CCCAAGTTACCCATGACTTCCCGCTCTGACAGCATCTTGGTAAGCAGACCATACCTGGTAAAGAATTTGGTAATTCCTCTTACCACTGTTTTGTCAAAAATATTTCCCAAGGAAGAGCTTCTGGGAAATGGGTAGCCACATCCATAATGGTAAGGATCTAAAGGCTTTTGTTTTGTGCAGGGGCCACATGTGCACTAACATCTTGTTGAATGCTTCCCCAGAAAATAACACAGGAATCATAGCTGCACGTCTTGTTATAGTTTGGGGTATCCTGCAACCTGGCAGATGTGGCAGGTTCTGCAAAACTTTGTAGAGATGTGACCTATAAAAATGCTGGCTTGGGTTTTACATATACTGCCCAGGTACCAGAATGAGCTAGGCGCCATATTTCCCTACTCAGCAGCACCACTAACTATTTTGCAGGCCCATAATGGGGTCTCCCATTACTCATCAGCACCTCATTTTAATGTAGTAGCTTTCAGGGATTTTTTAAAAATTCATTCATGGTACGTAGGCATTAATAGCTGGCCAATGTTTAGTGCCCAGAGGGAAGTTAAAAATCATCCCCATTGCTATGAGTCTGGAGTCACATGTAGGCCAAACCAAGTGAGGACAGCAGTTTCCTTCCCTAGAGGACATTAGTGAACCAGATATGATACACCACCCCCCACCAACAATTGGCAACAATTTCATGGTAATCATTCAGATTTACTGGATTCAAATTTCACCAGCTGCTATGGTGGTATTCAAACCCAGAAGCCCACCTTCCTGGGTCACTGGAGTAATAGTCGAACAATAATACTACTGGACCATTGCTCAGCTTCAGTGAGTAGAGCCTGAGCAAATGGTTTTAACAGCAGGTCACCTTGCCGGCCCCCTACTAAAGAGGAACTATTTATTACCTCCTTAGGGTCATCTAGATTCCTGAAAACATTTTTAGATAATCAAGCTAGATAGTCTCTGTTTGCAGTGCCACTTCAACTTCCACCGGTGGAGCTTGTCTGGTCAGACCATGTGACCAAGCAGTCAGGGAAAATGTAACAGACCTTTTCCTGCAGCTGGCTCCTTGACCTAACAGAGCTTCTCAGAGACCATTGGGGATGTTATTATCTTTGATCCCATCGGGTCATTGCTGAGTAACAGATTGTTCGTGGATGGGTTCAATCTGGGGGTGATTTACTAGCTCCAAAACAAGACTGAATTCCAGAAGTTCCATAAAGAGAGATGGGAATGTATCCTCCTTCAATTCCCTTCACCAGCACCTTGGCACTTACTGTAATCTCTAGTTGGAAGACCTTCCAGCAAGAGCGTTTAGCTGGCCCTGGTATCCCCCAGTATCAGAGGCTTGTTCAGCTCACGCTGGGAAGAAGCTATTTCCTTTGCATACAAAGTCCTGGTAACTCTTGTATTTGTGTAACCTTACCCGCACTCAAAGGATTGACTCCGCAAGGATTTGCAGCCACAGTCAAAACTAGCCTGGCTTGCCAGGTTTCTCTAACTGACTCTGATTCTGTGCATGCGGTTAGGCAAGGTCCTAGTGGTATTACCACTGGACTGTTAATCCAGAGACCCAGATAACATTCTAGGGACTCAGGTTCAAATCCCGGGATGGTGGAATTTGAATTCAATATAATATCTGGAATTAAGAATCTAATGATGACCATGAATCTATTGTTGATTGTCAGGAAAAACCCACCCAGTTCACTAATGTCCTTTAGGGAAGGAAACTGCCATCCTTACCTGGTCTGGCCTACATGTGGCTCTAGACCCACAGCAATGTGCTTGACTCTGAACTGCCCTCTGGGCAGTTAGGGATGAACAATAAATGCTCCTAGCCAGCGACATCCTCATTCCATTAATGAATAAAGGGGTAAAAAAGGGGTCCATGTACCCCAATAAACCCCACTGGGTTTTTTCCACAGTCTTCAGCAGTTAGTTTAGACATGCCCTACCTTTTGGCTGTTAAAGGACCCAGGCTTCTTTGCCTCACTTTTCATCTCAGCATCATCCTTTCTGTACTGACGAAGGCTTCCAGCATTTTCCTCTCCACCATGCTCACTCAGTTTTCTATCACTCACTCCACCTCTGTCCTTTCCAGTTGGTTGGGACTGACTCTGCAACAGGAGTTTGTGGATCAACTCATAATCATCAGCCAAAATATGGCTACCTGACAAGGCCCTGTCATTCTTTATTCATTGAGGTATGTTCTTATAAGGAAGAATACAGAGATTTTAAACTCCTCAAGCAGAATTAATTTCACAGAGATTTTCCTAAATGGCTTTCATTCTCTGTGCCTGCACTCAATGGTCTAAAGCAATTTGTTTCAGCCTTTCTAATATCAGGTATGTCTGGTCAGGCTGTTTTCAGAGAGTATGGCATTTCCCGTGGTATGCCTCCAGCACTAAATGCTACCCCCAAAGGCAGTTACTTCTGGAAAGAGATAATAACTTTACTCTGCAATCTTGCTCTGCAGTAACAAGGACTGATATTGAACTGACCACATTAATTGCTGTGCTAATCACTCAAAAGAGGTAAAGAAAGCTTCATCAAACTTAGGGATTAAATGAGCAAACTGGGGTGTCTTAACCCTTATGTCTGAGCTAGTAGAGTCCTCAAGTGACACAGGAGAATTCCTGCCCCTCTGCTTGAACCACTTTAGTTTCAAAAACCCTTTCCTTCTCTCGGAGGTTCTCCCAATCCTGAGGTTCTCCCTGTCTCTGGTATTGCAAAAGATGGGTCTGGCCACATTGCCACAGAAGTAGAGGACCACATCGTATCACCTGTCCCTCGTGGAAACATGAAAAACACCTTTGACCACAGGTCCATTAGGGAGTGGTCAGCAAGTGGCTTCCTCAAGGCCCTGTGGGAAAAGGAGACAGTTTTCCCTGTCAGCTGGTTCCTTGAGCAGACTGTCAAAGTCATTTGGCAGAATGCCTAATCACCACAGACAAACTTAGCTGGTGTCCACGTGTGTATGATCCATCTTTGACTTCTAGATATGGTAGGTGACCAATGCAGCACAGACTTTGGAAATATACCAGACTTGTGCCATGAACAGCAACATCAAGAGTACTTACACTAGATGATCATTCTTACCCACAATGTAGAGGAAGTGTCACTTCCACATGTCCAGTTTCTATCTGAACTTTATGATAAGCAACTTCTAGTTTTCAGCGCATGGCCCTGTCCCTCCAAACCATTCGCCCAATGCTTTCAGGTAATCTGATCTCATAGTGAGGGCGATAAAGGAATGGTCCATCACTTACCAAAGAACATGGTCTTACTCATGCCTTAATTTACCTTAGCTTGCAAGGCTACTTAGAACTGTCTGCAAATGCACAGACAGCAGATCCAAGCGCAAGATAGTGACATTGTCAAAGTACAGGCAGGTTTTCCACTACAGACCTCTGCTGCCTGAGATTGTCACCTCTACAAGCTCACCTCCTTCCTGATGGATTTGGAAGAAGGCTCTATGTAATTCACAAATAAAGCAGGGGAGACAGGCCAACCATTGCTTGAAACTGCATTACTGATGTTTCTGTAGAGCAGTTGGATCCAGTTGCAGATTCTCTTTCCAAATCCCATTTTAGACAGCACATCCATGTTGCAAGTGAGTAATATTCTGTAAATGTCCTGCTCCCGATCCAGGCTGATGTTTCAGGTGTCCGGTCCCATGTCCTACACATAGGCAATCATATCCCCTTGTAGTGTGAGGTTTTCAGAGGTCTTCCTGCCAGGTACAGTGCTGACCTAGTCAGAGTTAATTGCCAACTCCAGAGTGGACTTGATCCAGTTGGCAATGATCTTGGACAGAATTTTGTAGTCCACATTCAGCAGTGTTATTGGTTGCTAATTTCTAATTTTTTAAAATTTTTCCACTTCCTTGTGTAGAAAAGGGTGATATTGGCCTTCCTCATGGATTCACACACACAGCCAACCAGAAGCATATTCACAGACACCTCAGGCAGGTCCTGGCTGATCAAGCTGCACAAAGTCCAATACAACTCAGCTGATAAGCTGTCAAATCTGGGTGATTTCCTGTTCCCTGAGGACTTGAGGGCCTTAGTCAACTGATATGGAGTTAGTGGTTTAACCAACTCTTTAATGTACTGTCATCTAAGATCTTCATGACAGAGGACAGGTACCTGGGAGACCATGCTGTATGTCGGCTTCATGTCATACAGTCTGACATAAAAGGATTTGTTAATTCCTCAAAATGTCCGTTTGAGATGATGTTACCGAGCTACCGTCATCCTTCAAACCGCTGATCATAGCTATGTCTGTGCGCCTTCCCTAAGAATAAATGTGAGCATGTGTCCGTCTGCTCCCTTGACTAGACCATTTCCTTGGAAGCCCTCAAAGCGAAAGGTATGATTTGATACCTCTTCATTTCATGAAGATCGTCCGACCCCTCCCCTTATTGTCTGTAGCAAGAGTTATTGTGTATGTTTTCTGGAGTGGGGACTATTCCAACCTCCTCCCTCTCACCTTCTGAACACTTTCGGTGTAGACTGGGAAAGGGGCTTCGCCATCCTTCCGACACAATGTGAGTTGCCCCAGGCCCGCACCCTCCTGGTTCTAATGGCTGTACTCCCCGGATCGAATTAATTTCCTGCCCAACTGTCAGCAGCAGCTCCAGCTACAATACAGCTTTTTTAAAAGATGCAGACAATTTTAACTTGCGTAAGCAAATTACAGTTTTGAGCTCTGCATTGCACTAAATGGGACTAACATATGCTTGAGTGCAGACAGCCGTAATTAAAGAACTTTATTTACACCTCTCCAACATAGAGGGCAATGTAACAACATTCTCCGCTATTTTAACGTATTACGGGCCCCCCCATTCATATGTCAGCCAATCAACACTGTGGTTAGGTGAGGCTGCATGACAACGTCTTTCAAATAAGCAGGCATCATGAAGTCGGCTGTGGTCTGCATTACAAGCAACTGGCTTGAGTTAATCGTATCTGCCCTATATACTAGGAGCAAGTTTTATCTTCATTATGTTGTTGGTTTATCTTTTTAGTAGCTGGCTTTCAACAAAGAGGGAACATTAATTCTGACCATTCCATAAGCATTTAGTTTTGTTGAATGCCAATGAGGCAGAAACATAGCGCGTGAAATCCTGGTCGGGCATTAAGACCCTCGGGGATGTGGTTGGACGAGTGGGATTTGCTTGCGGTTCCCACCTGCTCCTTTGCAGTTGGAAAGTGAAGGCGTTTATTTCTCCCACGTTTCGCGAGCTTTCAAGAGCTGTATTTGCGAGGATTAGTGCTTTCTCGGGGCTAAATCTTCAAAGAACTGGGAGAGCTGTGTCCCTGGGTGATTGGCAGTTGAACTTTTACCTCAATCAGGCGAGAGGAAGCTTTTATTCGCTTGAGTAAGTGAGACTAAGAAAAACGCTCGTTGACAGGTTCCCGAGGATAAGATTATCGCCTCTGAATCTTTAGAAGACATGCGGGGCAGCTCGGCTGGAACGAGCTATAGATGCAAACTCGGCAAGTTGTAAATCTAGAATTTGAAAATCAGGCATTCTCTTCCGCTCTTTGCAAAATAGTACAATCCAACCCAATAATGGGAGCTGCATACTGTTAAAGTGATATTTCCTGGTGGAATCCATACCTTCAACTGAAAAATGATCTGAAGCGAATAATGTTCAATGTTGGTGAGAGATACGGTATCACAAGACCTGCGAGAAATCTGGATGAGTTGGATTCGGTTCAGAGTATCATTTTTCACAGGTGAGCATAATAAAGAGTAATATCTAATGGAAATTTTTTTAAAAAAAGGAAATGATTTATGTCGGAGACTTTAAACTGGTATTAGTTTTCCACGATTTCCCAAAATATAATTTGAAGGTTACGTCATGTCAAGGATATTTGATTACTGGATTTTACATTTCTGAAATTCCCTCGAAATCTGTTGAACGTATCCTTAGAAAAGACCAAGCTCCGGCAATTCAACGAACCGCGCACTCATTTCTCGTGACTTGGAGATTTCTTTTAAGTTCCGTAAAAAAAAACATATTCCCCTCTGCTGAAATATGACATCTTATTTAATTGAGATCAGTTCTGCTTTTGTTTAATATTCTAATGCTAAATGCAATACAGTGTGTGCCTGGAGCACAAATGCAACGCAAGCCAAATTACACAAAACGCAATAGGTGACAAGTCTGTTTTTGTTTAAATAACAGGTCGTATTGCATTGTTGTAGTGATCTTTTACTGCCAACTCAACTCTCAAGTTAATCCAACTGCGGGTCAATAATAATGTCTCAGCCTAACAGCCGAGGGAGGAAGCAGAGCTACATTTATGAATCCGAACTGAACAAATTATTTAAGAATTTGAAATCCCGAATCTGCCTGCACTACTCTCATCTAACAGCATAAGACAGTTTCTTAAAGAACGTCAACCTCAAGGCTAAAATCAGCGTAAATGTAACGTTTACAACGGTTTATAAAACACATTATTTGCTTTCCTTTTTTGGAGGCAAGAGTCTGACCTAGTGCAAACGACTTGCACAGCTTCAGTTAAAATAATCATGGGAAATATAGGTTTCTTTTTGACTTTATTTTTTACTACGCCATGCATTTGCTGACCAACAGTTGAGTTTAGATGTTTTACCGTTCTCATGAACCAACATTTTTCCAAAATAAATCTCTGGTTCCGTCGAAGCATTGTATCTAATTCTGGACACTTGCCTAGGTTTTATGTGAAAGACTAAAGATTTAGAGGATGTATCCAATATGAGGGATTTCTGATTACAGCAACTGGAGCTGCACTCCTTGGAAGAGGTTAAAATAATTAATGGTAGTGTTCGAGTCATCGAGTCAGAGTAAATGGAGAGAAACTATTTCCATTGGCATAAAGGTCCTAACCCCCCAAAAAGCATACACTAATAAGATTGGCAAAAGACAAAAGTGTTTTTTTTTGTATTGTGTTTGGGATCTGGAAATACACAACCTGAGAATGTGGTGGAGGCAGATACAATCGTGGTTTTCGAAAAAGGGAATTGGATAACTGCCTGAAGAGAGGGAATTGCAGAGCTGCGGTTGAATGAGCAGATGAGTGGAGCTGGCCATTCTATGATTCTGTGATTAAAATCTCTCCGTTTACTGTTCCTGAGAATTTGGGAACTCGTGTGTCTTTGACAATATCATCCCTACCCATTCGCCCATCAAAACTTTTCTGAGTCGCAATAAATAAATGAAACCGAGTGAAAAACTAGTGGCCTTTCGGTGAGAGAGCTTCGCTGCGTGGACGATTTGAAATCTTTTCACGTTAAGTTGGAACCATTTTTTCTGGTAGCTAATGGAGGTCAAACTATATTAACAGATCTTACAACGATGTTTCGAGTTGTGAAGTTGGTGCTTGATAACTAACGTATACCATAGAAACGTGTATACCTTGATTCAATTAATTCCGGGGCAGGGTGAAGATTTTAGATTTTTGCGGGGTGCGAAGTGGGTTATATTAAGGACAACGTTTCCATATTTTGGCACCTTCCCTCGGATCCATGATGATCGTCTCCACTTGAATCAAGTAACAAGTTGTTCTGTGCACATTTACATTCGGGAGAAATGTCTTTTCCCATTTTGTTCATTTGGCATTTTTGTAAAGGTTCGCATAAATGTTTGACCATTGGAGTTCACATTAAAATAAAAGGGCCTTTGTTAGTAACTCCTGTCTCTTTGTCAGTGATCATTGCCTCCTTTACTTAAATAGTAATATTTGCAGGATTAGTAATTTTAGTAATGTTATAAACATTTGTTTTGAATGATGTGAGCAATCATAGTTGCACCAAGTTCCGAAACGTCAGTTAGACGGTTTCCTGTCGGATTCTAACGGCATTTATATATATATTACGTTTCATATTAAAACGTTAACCTTCACTTTTTAAGTAAATAATTTGATTTGATCTTTTTTTACGTTCAATCATTATACCAATTTGAAACTTCATCATTATCGAGAGATACATGTTGCAATAAAAGGTGTTTGGGTGATAGTACGGTATTACCTCGGGCAAAGTGAACTGCCCTGCATTGTGGATCATTATTCTGGTTTATAGTGGGTTTACTTGATGAAATAATGTTCTACATAGTCGAGCTGATCAAATTAATGGAAATCTGATAACAGAATTTAAAGTGTGAAACTACTGTTTATAATACTAAAGGAGTAGACTATGAAATTTAACAATTGAGGTTAGTCACCCTTATTAAATTGCTATCCCTAATAATGTTGATGCTTCGGATAGCTTCCTGTGCAAACAAAAATCTAGGGATGCATTACCTATTACTAAGGAAGCATTGGCTAGTTTGGTGCTTTATGCAATTGGAAAAAAAAAATTGTCCACGTTTTGGGGATTGGAATTGGATGTTGTTTTTTTTCCAACCAGTCTGGAATATTTTGTATTTCAGCTCTAAAGTATATAAGAAAGCTGGCGCGTCAGTGCTGTCTTTGGAAAGTCCTGTTGTATCTGATAGGCTGCCCTTTACATGAAATGAGGTCCTAGTTACTTGCTCAGGTAGGCAGATGAGATTTAATGGCACTGATACAAAGGGAAAAGGGAGTTCTGCTTCCTTTTCAACATTGCTTCCTTCACCAGCAAAAACAAATCAACTGGTCTTTTTATTGAAATTACTGTTTATATGGCCATTTTTGTGCACATATTGGTTTCCAGTACCACTTTAGAGTGGCATGAACCAGTGATACAGTGTGAATCACTCTCACTTAATCTGTCTATTGTTGCAGAGCTACATTATTTGGAACCCAAGTGCTTATGAGATTTTTAATATTCACAGAGTACTGATAAGACAAACTCGCTTTTGTTAAGTTTAGAAAGTTCCAAGATAGTCCCAGCAATTTCTAAGTTTGAAGTAAAAGCAGAAAGTGCTGGACAACCTCAGCAGGTTTGGCAGCAACTGTGAAGAGAAACAGTTAACACTTCAAGTCCAATACGACCTCTTCAGAACTGAAGAGAGAACTGGAAAAGTGATGGGTTTATACTTTAGTAAAAAGTAGGTAGGAGCAAGTGAACATCAGAGAAATTCAGGGGAACGTTAAAGGTGCCTCGAACAAAAAGCATACGGAGTGGTAATAGCAGTAAAGAGAAAGGTCCAGAGTAGTTTTCTCCAATACTTTTTCTGTTTTTGTTTCAGATTTTCAGCATCAATGATAGCTTCTTTCTAATTTCTAAAGTTTGTCTTTGTACAACTGCTTTTCAATAAACTTAGAGTAACTGTCCTCATATTCTTTGTCAATTATAATTATTTTAATACAGCAGGGGAGTGGGAGTAATTGAAGATGGTTATTACAAATAACTAACACAGGAGCAATGGATTGTATGGCCATCTTCTGTTCTGTATCATTTTCTGATTCTATTTCTTGTCTCTTACTTTCAGATACCTAACCTGAATTGGTAGAATGTAAATGTTACTGATGGAGTCACAAAACCTACATTGGAATTAACTCATAATGATACATTGTATTGCTGTGAAGACAAAAGCATTTAATAGTAACACAATATAGGTAATAACACTAAAAGGCATTATTTTGAGTTGATACATAAGATACATTTCAATGTATTAAATGTATTGGATAAACTTAAATAGGCTGATGTACTACCAAATACTTAGCAATAAGGATGAGAGTACTTTTTCACAAATGGGAATGAACTTGTTGAACAAGATACAACAGAGAGCCATTTACAAGATTAATACACTAAATCTCCATCAGTAACAACGGCAGAAGTGTATTTTCTTTACATTCCATCTATTCAGGTTGAGTGTCTGATAGTGAGGGCAAGAAATAGAATCAGAAAGTGATACAGAACAGAAGTTGGTCATTCAATCCATTGTATCTGTGCTATGCTAGGTATTTGGAAAAAAAACTAACTCTAATTACTCCCACTCCCCTGCTCTTGTCCCTCGTACATCTGCAAGTCTTTCCCCTTCTGCTATTTATATAATTCCACTTTCAAATGATTGAATTGCAGTTAATAAAGCCTAGGACATTTGTACTTTGTGCCCCTATTAATAAAGTGTACAGAGCAAGAAGGTTATGTTAAAATAGTATAGGAAGCTGATTCAGTCTCAATTGAGAATCGCAAAGATCTAGGTGCTGAATTTTAGGAAGGATGCAAAGGCATTTGAGAGTGTGGAATGGACTTTTGAGAATGATTCTTGGGCTCAGGAACATCAGTTTGGAAAATAGATTGGAGAAGTTAGGACTGCTTGCCTTGGAAAAAAGAAGAGTGAGAGAAGATTTGATAGCTTTTAAAAATCTTGAACCTGGAGCAGATAGGGAGGATTGAGAAAGAGTGGGCACTAATTTAAAGTATTTGCAAAAAGAAAACAAAAGCAATATAAGAAATGCAGTGAGTGGTTAAGATCTGGAATGCACTGCCAGAAAGTGTGCTGGAGACTAGTTTAAATGAAACATTCAAAAGGGAATTAGACTATTATCTGAAAAGGGTTATAGGGAGGGCAGGAGAATGAATTAAATGAATTGCTCATTCGGAGAGCCACTCAGGCATGATAGGCTGAATGGCCTCCCTCTGCACTGTAATGATCCTATGATTCTGCAACATCAACCCACTCCATTGTGCAATTAACTAACTTGATTGAGATGTTCAAACATGATTTGTTTTTCAAATACCAAAACCAGCTTATTTATTATCACTTTTTTATAAGTGCAAACTAACTTTGTCTAGTTTGCTGTCCCTAAACACTTCTCACCACTGA